TCTTGCTTCTTGGTTTGAGTTTTTAGGTGCATATGTTTGATACATAGGTGCACTTGTATAGCCTTTTGCAATACATGAAAACATCAAGCAAGGTCGCAAGTAGGTCGGTTTTGTTTTAGGGCTTAGGGCGGTGATGACAAATGCACACCGGAGATTGAGCAAAATGATATGTCATCCTACGACATCGAGATCCGATTCAGGAACCTATCAGGATCTGATTCAGGAACCCGGTGAGCTGTAGGATGACAGTATCATTCACCGACATAAAACTAACGGGAGTTGAACCGAACATTCTTAGGTTGTTGGTGACCCTACGTCCGACAGCGCGATCGACTCGTGGATAACTATTTTTCAAAATTAATAAAAAATAAATTTGATAAAAATTTGATAAGAACGGAATTTGATAAGAACGGATACACCTTTTTTTAAAACAAAAATATATTTTTCGCTACAAATAAAATTGATACAACCCTTTTTGTATGCCTGAAACTTATGTGCATGCTAAAATTTTTAAATTTTAAATACATTTTTTAATATTGGTTGTCCACCTGTTGATTACCTATTTGCTGTTGATTACCTATTGTCCACCTGTTGATTACCTATTTGGGCTAAGGAGTACCCTCCTGAGTTAGGTTCGATAGGACACCCTTCTGACTTTATAACAGACTTTATACATCTGGGTGACCGAGTAGCCTTCGATGACCCTCGAGTACTAATATATAGTTCAGCCTAGCCCTGACCCGAGTGTTTGCGGTCCCCTCTTTTCAGAATTTTTTCATATGTATTCTTGGGATTTTTGGACAAAGCACTCGTGTTCTCTTTTCGGGATTTTCCCGTGTTTTCTACGATTTTCATCGATTTGTCGATTTCCTTACATTTTTCTTGTCACGAGTCTTTTGATGATTTTTCTCGAGATTTCTGGGTGTTGTTTCTTTCCTTCATTGCTCTCTTTTATATATTGCATTTCAGCATGTTTCCTCAATTTTTGTTATTTGTATATGTTGCATCAGCTACATCTAAGGAACAGCAGATCCCCCAGGTATGCAGACTTGTTTTATGTTTACAGTATGTTACTTTCTTGTAATCACTTTTTTGGTGTACCGTCTACTTTTTCTTTACACCGCTTGTTGTACTGTTATCTTTATTACATACTCTACTGCTTGTCCTGTGCTACATACTTTACTGTCATTCTATACACTATACAACTTCAAACTGTTCCCCTAGAATGTTTAAAGAACTACAACCATAGGGCCGCTTGATTTGACATCATAACCTGACACTCTAGAGAACTTAAACTCGTCATGCCAAAGAACTTGGAGCTAGCGCGGTGGGCAACACGATCATCTTCAACAACAGAACATGACTTCCCCAGCTAAACTATTCCTTCCTTAGAATTAAACAACAATTCGTAGGATTTCGAGGTCGTTCGTGTGGTACGACATAAATCCTCAACTTTTCTTTTAGACATTTGTACAACTCTACTGTGCAATCTATGTCCTAACTCGTTTTAGGATTCCGAGGTTGTCGTCCGTCACGACCTAAATCCTCACATCTTACAGGCTACACATCTTAATCTTACAGGCTATTTGTGTGATCGTTTCATATAAGTGTAAGCCCTAAATAAATAAAATTGGCAGGATAAAACAATTGAATAATTTCTCTTCTAAATTGAAGCCAAACCATAGGATAGACTAGGAAGTCATCGATGTTCTTCGGATCTGTGACATCCCCTAGTTCTTCTTCCTTTGGATTCTATAATAAATGTTCCAAACTTGAATCATTCTTTTTTCACACCTCCTTGTCCTATCCTTTTGACATCTTTGAAGATAATATTTCTTGATTTCTATCGAGAGTATTCTTAGGTAACTACGGTTGTCTAAAATGTAACTAACTATAGGGACTTGCCCCTATAGGAAGCTTTTCTGAACCCAGCTTAAAATAAACTTTATTTAATTTTTCATATTTAATTTGTCGGCAAATAAAATGGTTTCGTAGACCAAACGGACGTCATATATTTCTTAGTTTATCTGATCGAGTCTCATCCTCAAGTCTTGTGTTTATCCCTCGGGATATATACAGAATTTGAGGTAGAGCGCTCTTTCATTTAAACTGTTTAGATTATGGGGTCAGTTTGATTTCATATTTTTCTAAACTTAAATTTATATGTAAATTAAAGCGTCCTTCCGAAGCGGGCGATGTGATTTCGATTCCGGTAACCGACAGCTTCTTACGGGCAACTCCCCCAATTTTTTAGTGCCGACAATAACTTATAAAAAATAATAAATATACTGATGTAATGACTAACAATTATAAAACATGGAATATTTATTAGATGACTTAAAATTTGATGTAGAACATAAAAAGAGAGATGTGATACACATACTTAACGGCAAACTTTGAGGGTGACCTGCAAATTAAAATTTGTAACAATTTCTATTATGCATAGGAATGAACAATTACTAGTTTGAAATTAGTGTAGTACTTTGTTGTTACAATTTGAAATTTGAAGATTGCATAAAAACACTTAATTTATAAGAAAGACTAAATTTGAATGCACAAATAAACCAATAAAATCTCAAATTTATTAAATCAACTCATGAATTCATTAGTTATCTGCTATTTGATTTCAATAATCTTTTATTTTTAAGTATAATTTTTTCAACTTCAGATTCTTTTCCTTCTTCTTTTTCTTCTTGTGAATGAATTTCATTTTCTTGTTTTTTGCACGAGATGAGTGAATGCGAGTAGAGATGAATTACTCTCATTATGGGTTTTTTTTTTTTTTAACCTATTAAATTTTACATATCTCATTTGATTAACTAATAATAATACCTCTTTTTGATTTGTGTCCGAATGGACCTTTTTATCCAAATCGTTGCTCGCTTACATTCTTCATTTCTCCAATAAGATTCTCACAAGTTTTTGAATAGAACTAAGACTAATTGGAATAATAGCGTCTCTCAAATTAAATCTTCTTTTTACAGTTTAATTGTACTTGAGAAAAACCAAATCATTTAAGCTTTTTTTTTCCTAATCGATTTTTCATTTTTTATAAATTTATTGAAAAAAACTATAATAAATGGATAAAACATATGAATTATTTAGTATTTTAAAATTTTAAATTATTGATCTATTTGAATATAGTCAAGTTATTCTCACATTCAACAATATTGCAAGTCAATCTTAAAATTTTATCAATTATTTTTTGTAAAGTTGGGATTGATGCAACATAAATGATCCACCACTCTAGTGTATAAAATTATAATATGCATTCTAGGAACAATTGATGAAAGATTCAAAATTATATTGAAGCTTCAATTAATCGTACATGTAAATTTCTGATCTCTATTGTCGATATGGTACTTAGTTGTGAATAAGCTACCGATATGATTATAAATAGACAGTTCTTGATTTATAATCATTCTTTTATGTGGATCTCCTATTAAACTAGCAATAGTTGCATATATGTCTTCCATCAAATTATTTTGATTGTATCTTAAACTTGTATAAAAAACCTCGATTATGATAGTTGCTAGCTTGAAGCAATGGTTAACAGAGTTGACATCCCCATCTATTGTCAATAATACAGGAGATTTGTTTTTTTTTTTATCTTCTCCAAATGTGCAACAAATTACATTTTTGTATTTATCTTTTGTACTATGATATAACACGTTATTGCCTGCTCGTTACCATCTACTGTTATTCTCACTTTTGGGCTTGTAATACTTGAAAATTATGTCACACTATTCTGAAATCTGGACTTTAGAATGATTTATTTAACATTTTTTCTTTTCTAATTAATACTGAATGTGGACTTGTTTCTATCTGCAGAAACAAACATATGCCTTGTTTTAAAAATCTCAAGATCAAATTCTTAGCTTACAAGCTTGAGCTGGACTCAAAATTTAATCTTGATTATGTATGGTGATATTGAAGCTTCAGGCAATCTCTAAATCTGAACTTTAAACTGCATATTATTTATAGTTTGTTCAAATGTATCATTTTGCTCTTAAAATTGACTAGAAAATAAAGAGTAACATATGACATGATTTGCAATATCAGCATATTGTGAAATATTGATATTCTATCATGAAAATTTCATATTAAGTTATCTCTTATTATTTTTCAATTTTATCATTATTTTTATCATTTATTGAAACAATCACTTGAATTATAATTATTTTTTCTTTTATAATAAATGAGCCAGCTCGTAAGCCATCCTGAACTCATAGAATGAAGCTAGAGTTCAAACTTCGTTAATTAAGCTTAACCTCAAGTTATGGGTGAATTGATCTTCGCTGAACTCATTTATAACCTTAAACGTGATTGATTCTCATGTTAGGTTGATTCAAGTTCATGTTAAAATTTTTTCACTATGTACTAAGAGAGGAGTTTCAAATTGATTTATTTGACTTGGTCACATTTGAGTCAAGCCTAATATGTAGATTAGTTACGATGTGCAACGAATATGTTGACAGGGCAAGGACCTTTATAATTATTGTGTGCGTAGGTAATTATTAATCTACTTTCTGTAATTTCTTATTAAACAACAAATGATGTAATCTCTTTACTTCTCTGTATTTCCCTGACGTTGCTTATTAACATGTTTGGCAGAGGTAAGGGAATCATAGGAGTGATGCTATGCTAGTCAATCAGTTTGTCATCTTTCCCACCTACGGTATCCCAGCTACTTTGTTTGACCATGATTAACCAAATAAACTGGTTTAATTACCTTATTTACCATTAGAATAAGCAAATATTTTACATTCTGTTTAATTGGAGCTTATCTGTGGTGGATAGGTTGATCGACCTGGCATATTTTTGCGGATTGCTTTCAATTTTGCTATCCTCTAGGGGAACGAGAATTTAAAGTTCATCACCTATTCTTCCATTAAACTTGTTCGAAATTTATGTTTGCTATATTGTTTTTATTTTGGTTTCCCGCTAATTTACCATACAAATTTTAGTAAAATGTTTGTGATTCGCCCACCACTCTACAGGTGAAGTTCAAGATTGATGAGGATTGTCTTCCACTTCCTGAGAGTGTTTTCAGACTTGCCATAAAAGAAAATTATAATTCAAAGAATAAATTCAAACCGGATCTCAATTCTAAGCAGGTAATACATAAGTCTCAGCTTTAATTTTCTAGTTATGAACATAGCTTCATTTCAAATATATTTAAATGGGCTTCCAGCTTAAGTGTCTCTTTCGTTTGGTTCTTACAAATTCAGCCTAGATGCAGGTTCGAAATTTATTGGCATTATTCCGTCCCATTGATGCTGCTCCACAACCAGCTCCTCTGCGGTTTGTTGAGGATCGCCGGCCTCCAACCTCTGCATATCTGCCATCACTTGAGGAGTCCTACGGGTCTGGGCACCTGCCACCTGTGCCTGCAGTGATCGAGCCTTACAGACCTGCTCCTCTTCCTGCGGCAGAGGATCCTTATAGATCTGGAGTCATAATGCGTGCCCCATATGCTACAGCACCAACTCATGTAGCTGTGCAGGTGGACCCTTACCGAAGTGGAGCTGTAGTACATGGTCCACTTTCTGTGGATTCCAGATATGTTGTTCAAGCACCTATTTCTGCTCCAAATGACCCATATGCACGAGCACCCCAATATGTGCTGGTTGATGCACGGCATCTTCAGTCAGCTCCTGCGCCTGTTGATACTTATCCCCGCACGCTGCCAAACGATTCATTTCGTCAGCCATTAGGCTGGCGCTCTTACTATGAAACCCAGATTCCTATGGAGCGGTATGTGCATCTTGAGGTGACCTGGTTTAAAACTGAAGGCTTTACTATTATGCTAAGATAGGCTAATACTCTGGTATGCTAACAACAATCTGTTGGATAATAATTTTTTTCCATTGGAATTTTAGCTTTGCTCCATTCGTGTATTTCTGTAATTATGCTTAATTGCATCTATCTTTCTGACCTTGTTATTTCCGTTTAACTATGTATGATTAATTAAGCTAATCTTCTTACTACTCTAGTTACTTTTGTTTAGCCGTTTTGATGATAAGCATTTTCGTACTGATTTCATTGTTACAATGTCGTGTATCATAAACCAGATGTCAGCAAGAAAGTATGTTTTTATCAATTGACATTTCGTTACAATGAATGAAAGAATGACTATTTCTTATTAGTTCATTTGGTTGATCAGATAACACATCATTGTCACAACCTACGCTTTGCTTGTGGTTCAATTTCTCCCAAGTTATTTGCTACACAATATACATGGCGTTTTTCTGATGTCTGATGGATTTATGTCCATTTCAATTACAGGTCTCAAGTTACAACACCGTTAGTAGAATATCTGCCTTCGCCAGCAGCTGAAGGCGAACTTGAATCTCGTGCAGGTCAGCTCTCTCGAACTGAGCAAATCATTAGGAGCCACCCAATTTCTGGGCTGGCTCCTCAACAGAGTTATTTGGCTTCAGTTTACGGTGATGGTGCCAGACCCGATGTGCCAAGAAAGGATGAGATGCCCAATGGATCTTCCTCACGCTATTCGTTTGCTAGTGCTGCTCCAGCATTCCGTTGAAAAGCAAACTTTTCTTGTATCTGCTACTTTGAAATCCACATTTAGTATAATTGGATGAAGAATCTGTTTAATCACAGCCTGCATAGCGTTGTCATAGAGATCTGCTACCTCTAGACATCTGGTCTGATTTTTCCAGACTCTCATCAGATCGATTCCATCGACATATCTGCTTAGACTGTTTGAGTTTTGTTGCTGTAGTTTTTCTATTTGAGCCGTGTCTATATATTATTTTTGGCACTGTTCGAATGATGATAGATCTTACCTTAACTTAGGTGGAATACTTCTTCTCTAGCTTAATCATTGGCATATGCATGATCATACGTGCTAATGTTAGTGAATATAATGTCATATTGCGCCCGCAGAATTCAATATAATAATAGCATTAGGGGGGCTTTGGTAATCTTTATATTAATAGATTATGATAGTAGTTAAATATCATGAAAGTATATATATTCTTATACCAAATCTTTTAAGCAGATAGACTTGAATCCCTCTTCTTTTTTAATCAATGAATGCATCAATGCAGTTTATAAGTAATGGCACGGTTGCTTTTGAGGATATGATATTTGTTACATTGTGTTCATAAACCATTGTCTATGTGGAGCCTTATAAGATACCTCCCTGCATCTCACTTTGGAGACTGGACGATACATTTATATTTGTTTCTGAAAAGCCGGGAGTGGAATCTGGGTATCTTAAAGTTTTTTTATTTATTTCACTGTTCTAAGAGCTTCGCAATTTATAGACTTTGTTGTGAGGTTTAAACGCAGTGATAAATCAGATCGGCTCAGTCTTCTTCTGATTGGAAACTTGCGACACAGTTTTATCGCTTGGTTCAGCGCTGCAGCATACATTTATTTTATTTTATTTTTTTTATTTTTTTTCTTTTGGGGTTCTATGATTTTATAGTAAGCATTGCCTTTTTCCGAATTTCATAATTTTACTAATCTGTGCTGATTATGACATCTGTCAGAATGAATATTTGGTTGATAATTAAATTTTATAAGTAATATTTTCTCACTAAATATGCTATTTTATATTTTTATCAGCAATTGAAAATATTATAAATTGTTTCGCTGCTTTGATTCTACTTGGTTTTGAGTACTCATATGGAATAATGAATTATTTATTTAGATTGTTGGATAAGTGCCATATTTACATGTTTAACCCTTATATTTTCATGAATTTTGTTAATTATATAACCTTTTTCGAGTTTAAGCTGAGTGATGTTAAGTTTTCAATTCGATGTTAAATTATCTGAAAAAAAAAAACAAGAAATCCAAAGAAAACTAAACTTATTAATATTTGGATGGAATTTTGTCCTAAAAGAAGAATGATTATGTTTTGCTATTTTTCAAATTCTATTTTGCTCATTAATCACTCTAGAATCATAGACATCATGAATATTTCTACAATCTTCCACCAGTTTATCAACACATTCATTTAAATCTTCTCCAAAAAAAAAAAATTTCTTCAAGAGACATCATTTGTATGAATTCATTTAGGACATTCCAAAGTTTTTGTTCTGAAGTCATACTTAAACCCACTTAAAGAGCATAAACAATTATAATATCAAAAATATTTGTAACAATAATATTTTTTAAGGCAATGATTATATTTTTAATTATATTAATTTTTACAACATTATATTTAATCAACATTTACCCACACACTATTTCTAATCCGGCTCCTATCTTAATATTAAAGTTCAAAACTATACTATCATTCTCCTTAGCCTTTTCTCCAGCTCATGTAATTTTTTGAAAGCAAAAAATATTCATTTTTTTATAAACTATAATATCTATTAATGTCATTAATGTACCTTTAAGAGTATCTATATTTCAGGATCGTCATAATATTAATTTCATGGGCGACTTTACCTGCACCCGTGTATATTGTAAGAATCATTACTTATTTAACATTACACCTGAATGTTGGCGTGGCGGCCCATACACAATTTTCACTGCATTCATATCATACATCGTGTTACTTCCAAGAAATGCTCTAACATTTACACAATGATTTGAATGATTCATGTCATGATTTTTTGATAAAAACTTTATGCCCACTGTTAACCACCTAATGCAACACTTTTTATATTCGATGTTTGAGACCCGACAACGACAATGTCAATAAAAGTCGTTATTCTTAAAAAAAAGTACATAAAAAAATAAGCCTTAATACGTTTAAAACCATGCAAATATTGAGAATTGGTGCTTTATCCAAAAAAAAAAAAAAAGAGCTGAATGGGAAAAAAAAGAAGCTAACCAGAAAAATACATCCTCGTATTTTCTATTAAAGAATGTAATTTGCAGTTATAACTGCTACAGTAGTGATAATAAAAATTTATAATTAAAGTTGTCAAATACGAGAAGTAACACATGAAACTCAGATAATAACTGCCATACAGGATAAGAGAGAAGCAAATCATAACCAGCTCAAAAATACTAGAACATTGAAGAACTATTAACAATGGCAATGTACATTTGACATGTTGCATGTCACCTATGGCGAAATATCGGGCGAACAGATATAACGCCGGCCCTCGCATCATCAAAGCGATACCTGCGGTGCAATGAGAAATAGAAAGTTACATTGGGTTCTATGAAAACCATGACAGGAGCTCCTGATACGAATTAAAAGAAAGAAAAAAAAATTTTCTTAGCTCAAAAGATAATTTTGAAATCGTTCCCCAAGTACATTATAGTTTTATATTTATCATACAAATATGGTCCTAAATGATTATTGAATTGAAAAATGCACATACCCTCCATCAATAAGAAAGCTTTTGATGGCTGCAGGGAGTGATGCTTGTCCCTTGCTGTGGTTACCTGTCCCTGTGAGGAGCACAAGCAAGTTAGATTGCTATGAGGAAACAATGTAACAAAATCAAGATACAAAGTTGATAATGTAAAGGCTAATGTATTCTCCTTTTTTTATAAAAACAGGTTTCATTAATAATTGATGTTTACTCTAGAAGATTGGAACATTGTGATTACTTTAATGCATGAGTACTTTCCTATCAAACATATTATTTTGCAATTCAGTATGGCAAGCAGACTATTTTTTTTCTTTTGGAAGATCATTTACCTGTAATGACATGCAATAATGTCTGCCTCTGTTGTGGCACTATAATTCCCTTAGCATTACTAGAGGTCTCCAAGCCACTGAGAGAGACAAAAGAGGGACTGGCTTGAATTGTTTCTACCTTTGCAAACTCATGGGGAGAAACAGAATGGTTCATCATCATGGATTCAATTCTTTGAAGATGTTGCTTCAATGCATGAACAGCCTCTGTTGCATGAAGGCCATGAAGGTCTAGCTTCCATAAGTCATTATTGCTGTTCCTAATGCGTAGAATCTCCTCTGCTGCTTGAGAATTTAGTTGTTCTGCAGTAGTCCACTCTTCTCGAGCCCTCGCGGAGAGCTGTTGTGCAGTTAAGTGATCGCCCCTCAAATAGGCATTGCTTGCCCCACGTGAATGTTGTGATGCTGCCCTGTTTGGCAATACTACAGTAAGTAAATGAACGGAAGTCTGAGGGGACGAAGGAAATAGCAGCAGTTTAATCTAAGAAGAAAGCGTTTTGCAGCACATGGTAATTTTATCTAAAAAACAGAAATGTCATATCTAAATCAAAATTATCTCCGCATAAACTGTACTAAAATGTAATTTATCATGTATGATAGGACAATCATGTGCATTAATTACGGCTGTTAGACCAAATAAACCCAGCCATCAGCAACACATGCTAAACATGCTAGTAACTTGTGGCCTCAATAATGTACCCCTACATCATTACACCTCCAACCTGCAACTTTCCTGCGACCCACCCCAACAACCCATGCTTACATCTCCTTCATCTCCATCCTCCTCGTCATCAGCATGTGTTAGTTTAAGATTTGAAGTTACAGTCAGAAACCAAAAAAAGAAAACATGGCTTGATTTGCTAATCAACTAAGCACTCCGAAGAATTTAACATATTGTGCGTCTAAGTTACACTGCATTTCTGAAAGACACAAGTATCCTAAATACTTACAACCAAATAATCTCATAGATTTCAAATTCTCTAATGTCGTAGTCATGGATTTCATCTTGGAAGAAATTACCTCGCAAAGCTCTCCTTCACAAATTGTCTTCTGCGCTTTATGGCTTGCTCTAAGCACAATGCTTAGTCGAAAGGATGACCTTCATAATTTATTCAAGGGAAATTTACATACATTTCATTAACTTCTTATGTATTTCTATATCTATATCTTTATATTTACTCCTATAACAACTTAATCTCTAAATGGAATAAAAAATACCACAAACATTAAGTTTTCTATAGTGAAACAAATACTTCATGCATATATATTTTATATCATTTAGACATTAGCGTGGTATCCAAGTAAACATAAAATTTTAGGTTTTAGATATGTAAATACACAAAATTCAATGGTATGTGTGTATGTAAATCCCCTTTTTTTTAATTGCTAGACTATTAAAAAGATCTGGAAAATACTTTATGAAGGGTTCAACACTAAAAAAACTGTGGTCAGTATGACTTAATTATTTTCTTCTAGAAAGGACGAATACATTAGAAACAACTTCAAGGATTCATGGGATATCAATTCTCTCGCTTACATTTGGATCAATATTGTTTCCAAAAAAAAATACTTCTACCGTCCAAGTACAACAATCTGACCTTCAGCTTACTGAGAATCCTATTGATTTATATTAACTATTGTTTCATTTAATGAGAAAGAATTAACCATAGCTTTTTCATTAATATATATATATATATATATATATATATATAGATAGATAGATATAGATATAGCATGAAACATCAATATGGCAAGACAACAAAGTTAAACATCAAAATGGCCCAGCCTTCAAAGATACAAAATAAAAATAAATAAAAAACTTTATCCTCTATAAATCTGCTACTACCTGTCTTTGGAAAACTATTGTTGAATCAAACCTGTTCGATTTTTTATCCATTACGAAGAAGCCTTATCCTCTACATTCATGTAAATAGAGGGTCTTACAGCTAAAGTAATAACCTAACTTTACATAGATCTGCTTACTTAAAATTACCATAAAATCAAAACTTTATTGAATTAGTCGACGGCATCCAAAAATAATACAGATTACTCAACCTGAGCAAAAATTCTAATAAAAAAAAAATAATGCAGGCCACTAAACCCGAGCAACAATTCTAACAATAAAAAACAAAAAACCATCTAAAATAATCAAAACTTTTGCCACCGGTGATCTCAAACCATGCAAATTAAACTTATCATCTGAAGTAAGAGGCTAATCTGGTAGATCAACTTTGCGCATCTATGAAATATTTGTTAACATAAATTTAGTTATTTTATTATTACACCATGATTTGAGCCTTCAAGTTGGGAGAGCAGATAATTAGTTCTTAGTTGGTAGAGTATTTGTTATGAAATATTACATTTTGTTCTAAAAAGCATGGTGCAAAACTTATCTTCTCTTTTTTTTTTAATATATATTTTTTTGCAG